CGGGCTACAGCCATTTCGACGCGTTCCCCGAGGGACCTCCCGAGGTCCCTTGGAGGTCGAGCATCCGAAAGAATCGAGGCGTCGACGGCATGTCTGTCGAGACAATTTTCGACGCGGCTGGTCCATTGCTGCTCCTGGCGGCCCGTGGACGAACATCTTCGGTTGGCAACGGTCGGCGTCATGGAATTGTCCGTCAACGGTCCCCCTTGGCAGCCTGCCGGCCTCTGCAACGTCGAAAAAGGGCTGCCTTGCGTTGCTGCCCTTGGCCCCTAGCTGGAAGGCGCCCAACGATCGGCAGAGTCAAATACTTCAGCCGGCCCCCGCTCTCCCAATTGCGCATTGTTTTCTGCGGCGGAATACGTTACCCTGCTTTTGTCGATAGCTGCGATCGGCCGTTTGCACCACTATCCCTCGCCGTTTCCAAGATGTCCTCCGTTGTCTTCTAGTTGCTGCTGTCTTCCACATGCCTTTCATGGCCGATGTCTTTCGGAGGCTGCCGCTGCTGGTGCTGGTCGTCCTCTTGCTCCTCCTCTTAGTTGGCTTCCATTTGTGCATCCTCGGCAGCGTTCCGTGACGTGCCCGCCGAAGAAGGTCTTTGAAGAAGGACGTCAGGATGGAGGGGCGCCAGGCGATCTGCAGTTCTGCAGAGGAGCAGGGTGGTGGCCAGGGGGCTGGGCAGAGCCCGTCGAGGTGTTCAAGGCTGTCAGAGCGGTCTGGGTATGCGCACCTGCCACCGCACTTGCAACCTTTGCCGGACACGTCCGACGAGGAGGCGGATGACAAACGTTCATGGACTGTGCCGCTTGGAAGCGGGTCCACCCAGGAGTGGGCGGCTACAAAGCTATGTCGAAGCCCCGACGACGGTTATGGCCAGTCCTAGACCGAACTCCTCCAACAGGGGCTCAACGGTGACGAAGGCGATGGCGGCGTAAATCTGTCGTTCGAGCTGTGTAATGGGAGGTCGTCGGCCGCCTCACGAACGGTCATCGTCACCCCCCATCCCGACGACGACGGCAGGCAAGTGACCACTATTGCACGATCATCGAAGTCTCCAGCGCTGGTCTTGGAGGCGTTGGGGAACAACAGGGATCCTCCGAGGCAGCGATTCCGGGGAGGGAGGGGCGAGAAGACGAAGGCGTGTGCCCGCAATGGTCGTCGGGGAGATAAAGCAAGAGGGAAAGGGAGCGATGACGAAGGTGACGTTGATGCGGAAGGAGGTCGTCAATTCTGGTCCGTCAACGACATTATAGCCCTCGTCCGGGCTAAACGTGACCAGGATGTGTATCTGTAGGGGATGGGTCACGCGTACGCTCGGATGAAGCCGCGAGAATGGAAGTGGTTGGATGTGGCGCAACGGTTGAAGAAGGTGGGCATGGAAAGAGATGCAGATCTTCTTCCAATTCTTTGGGAAGGAGAGGACGTCCAAGGGCTTCAATTTCAACATGGATCGTGCGGTTTACGATGAGATACACGGGTCGACCGCCAAGAACCACACCATAAACCCGAAGAATGTCGCCGACACTGGTGCTTCAGGTGGTGTGCGTCTGCCGTCCGCCTCTTCTGCAGATCCTAAATCTGTGGGCGATGGGGACGCTGGTGCAAGGCACGACGACGACGAGGACGGGTCCACGGAAGGTTTTTCTTAAACGATAGGTAGCCCTGGCGGTTTCGGCAAGAGGAAGAGCACGAGGTAACAAACTTCCGAAGCGATGACAGAATGCATGGAGAAGCAAGGTGCGTTAATGGCGTCGGCGATGGAGAGTAACAGCAAGCGTCAGTGGTCCATCCAAATACGACAGTGCAAGGCATTGGAAGCGGAGGTTGAAGTGCAGAAAAAACACTACGCAGCGTCTAACGAAGTGAGAAAACTGATGTGCCACACTCTGCTGGAGATAGCGAAGGCCATCCGCGAGCGTTAGAGTTCGTGCCGCCTTTGTTGTGCGCATTGTGGCTTCCATCGATACGGACGAAACGAAAGTTAGAGTCTTTTCGTCGTCGATGTAGCCGTCACCAGGCCGTCATTGACGTGCCGGTTCCCAATTGGCCGTGCTGGCCAGGGAAGTGGGTGGTGGTCCGATTGGCCGGATGACTCCTCCTGTGGACATTGACGTTTTTTTTTTTTTTTTTTTTTTTT